TATTTTTCTCTCCCTTTCTATTTTCTCTTTTTATTTTTTAGGCTGGCGGTGAGATGTCAATGTCCTTTGAGGTCGATTAAGTGTAGCAACTACAACCATGACACTGTCAAGCTAGATAGATAGGGGGGCCGACCTACTAAGATTGGTCTTCATGTTGCCGATGTGCTTTGAGGTTGGCTTGAGGGGGCCTTCGCTAAAAAGCGGTATGGCTTTCCCTTAGAACTTGATTTGGTTAGGTCACCAGAGCGGATAATCATTCTGTAGTAGCTTTGAATGTGGGTGCTTCTATGTCGTCACTTGAGATTGGCTTCCCCGAGTAGGTGCTTACGAGATCATGGCGTACATGTACCACATGCTCCTAGAACCGCTAGCTGCCCACTCCTACTGGAGTCATGGAAGGCTCACCTTGAGGGGTCGACTCTACTGTCTGTGGGTTGCCTACTCTCACAGGAACCACAAAGGACTCGACCTATGAGGCCGGTTCCACATTTAGTTTGCTTCCAACTCTCAGGGGAGCCATGAAGAGCTCGATCTGTAGTGAGGCTTCGCAGTTCGGGTTGGAGGCAGTTTGGGCCAGACCGCTGAGGCTCGCCCAGGCTGGTTGTTCATTTTTGTTCTACTTGTGAGCTCTATTGATACGTACATTACTCTCAATGTCGGACGATAGGGTGACATCGCGGCTGCACTGCATCAGCCCTCGAAGACGCTGGTCATCTACCCCTACGAGAAGCCATAAGGAGCTTGACCTGTGGGGGCCGCTCTACTAACTATAGGTCGCCAACTCGCATGAGAGCCTTCAAAGGCTTGACCCGGAAGGGCGTTCGCATAGTTCGTAGGCCGCTAACTCCCGTGGGAGCCACGAAGGGTTCAACCTGTAGGGGAGACCTTTCGAAGAAGGCTGATGAGCTCGTCCGGGCTGAAATGAGGTCGGCAAAGTTGCTTAGTCTGTTGGCCATCAATTCCCGAGGGAACCATGAATGGCTTGACCTGCAGGGGTGGCCTAACTCCGAGGTGCCTATCACTGGATTGCTGGTTGTTGAGTTCGTTCTACTACTGATTGTTCTACGGTGGCATGAGTGCACTGAACTTCTCCTGTGCCTACATCTGGAAATTTGTGCTTCAACTCATAGAATTGTCGCGTTTCAATCCTGACGGGAACTACTAATGGCTCTACCGTGGGGAGAGGGGCATTCACATAAGGTAGCGATGTGTTTGTGGTGGCCTAACTCCGAGGTGCCTATCGCCGGATTGCTGGTTGTTGAGGTCGGTCTATTTTTGATTGTTCTACGACGGCATGAGTGCACCGAACTTCTCCCGTGCCTACATCTGGAAATTTGTGCTTCATCTCATAGAATTGTCGCGCTTCAATCCCGATGGGAACTGCTAATGGCTCTACCATGGGGAGAGGGGCATTCACATAAGGTAGCGGTGTGTTTGTATGGGGTAATGGAAGGGTTCGGCATGGTTGCTACTCCAGGAAATGCTATGGGCACTAAACTTGCTTGATTCTCACAAGGGGGAATTCTCAAAGTTCATTACTGATGTTCTTGCCCCCCAGTAATTGATTCTTTGTTCTTGATGTTGGTGTTGCTTGAAAATGTCATTGAGTTAATAAAAACGGAAATTAGAAGGTGAGAACTTAGCTTTTTGTAGCGGTTCCCATAGACGATGCCAATTGATGGAGTGCATTTTGGCAACACCCCGCTTACTGGTGATTCAGATGCTGATTGATGGTGCGATCTGACTGTTCTCTGGTTGTCTGGCTACTTCCTGGTGGATGATGACTCAGAGGCCAAGATGGAGGATTTCTGCTAGATGAAGAATTGGATGCCAAGATGATTAGGTTTTGCTGGGGGTAGATTGGGTGTCGAGCTAGGTTGATTGCCGAGCTGGCTAGCTCTTTAGAGAAGCCTACAAGGAATCAATGTCAGAGGACCTGGGGTGGCTAACCCAGCGATGTCGCTCCGATGCTTAAGTTAGTATCTGGTAGTGAATTGCGAGCTGGAAATCAATAAATCTGAGAGCTAGAATGCACTTAATCATGCATACCTTCCCCCTGTGAGGTTCGAGGTGAGGCCTATATATAGGTGTTTCTTAGCGCGGGCTTCATGCACCATGTCTAAGATCTCCGAGAGGTCATGCCTAACCGATTTGAAGTCCTTGGAGGTAGTCGTGCACGTAGACCAGTCTTCACGCCTTGTTCGATTTCGTCCGGAACATTTGGTACGAGGGCCAACTTTCGAGAGACCCAGTAGTGACAGGTCGTGCATGTAGAATTGATCGCCGAGCATGTCTAGTAGGTGGCCACCTAGATCTCAATCAGGTCGGCAAACCCTCGAGGGAGGTCGCTCCTCATGTCGAGGTTAATTCGGCCAATGATGAGGTGCTACAAGTCGGCCCTGGACGAGATGCTTCTAGTTGGCCTAAGTTGTGGTCGAGGTCGCCAAGTCGGTGACAAAGGCAGGTTGCTAGGTCAGGGCGAAGACGAACTATGATCTGGGACTCCAAATGATCACTTAGGCGGTGTTTGTGTGTCATCCAACTGTTCTAAGATGCCATGTGTCATGATGTCACTAGAGGGCCAAATCCGCCCTCATCAAAATGTAAGAAGTATTTTTATTAATGATGAAAATGGAATGCCAAATTTAAAATCAACCTAGAAATAAAATGATGTCATAGTCAAATAATAAAATTTAAAAAATAGAAATACAAAGAATCATTAAAATAAAAAATAGAGAAAAATTGGGCACATATCTAATGTTATATATTTATAAAAAATAAAATATTGGGTACATCTCTAATATTATGCGTTCATTATATTAAACAAAAATAAGTAGTATACATAAGAAATAATTTTATCAATGATGGAGACGTAATACAAAATTTAATGTCAACCTAGAAATCAAACTATTTTTCTTTTTTGGTGGTAGGTTAGTGGTTTGGGTCAAATAGGTTAATCAATGATATGATAGTTAAATAATAAATCTTTAAAAAATAAAAACTACAAGTAGTAATCAAATGAATACATAAGAATTATATATTAATTATATCAAAAAAAAATTAATTGTGATAAGTAATTATTTATATAATGTAGATGAAATATATAATTTAAAACTGATAAAAAAGAAAAGTTATTTTATTATCTATATGGTGGGTCTATGATCCAAATTTTCAAAGAAACTCATAATGTCATAATTGAATAATAAATATTTAAAAAAATGTAGAACACAAAAAATGAAAAAATACATAATTTTGTCAAAACATGTGGGAACATTTCTAATGTTGTATATTCATCATATTAAATAAAAATAATTATTAAAATATTTTTTTATTTTTATTAAAAATGTAATACAAAGTTTAATAATAACAATAATAGTAGTAGTAGTAATAATAATAATAATAATAAAATTGTTTTGTAATTTAAAATTTCCATGTACAAATACATGTGCTTAATTACTACTTCTACCTAAAATATATGATTTTGTTAGGTGGTCTAAATCCCAATTAAGGCCAGGTTAGAACCGCTAAGGTTGATTGGTTTCTCTATCCAAATTACTTTCTGTAGTGTCCAATATGTAATTTATTTACCAGGCCAGGCAATAGGCATCAACTCAAACGGTATAACTGCCGGGACAATAGATCCGGTAGGCCAATGCAATAGACCTGATATGATCCAACCATGTAGCAGTGTTTTCAATCCATCAATCAAATCGTTTGAACCGTCATCCAATCATGATTGATTTATCTAAAATGTGACCTTTGAACCATCAGATCTATGGAGGCCATAACTTAATTAACACTTGTTTGGGGATAATTTTTTGAGATCTATAAGTCCCAAGGTGTCATTTATCCACTATTTTTGCAAAAAATAAAAAAAAAAACCCTTTTGGCCTCAAATCCCAATTTTTAAAATTTTTATGAATAAAAAGTTAAAAAAAGAAAATTTTCAATTATTATCTTGTACTTTGGGTCTAGTGCCATTTTGGTTTTTGAATTTTAAAATGCGATAACTCAATAGTGGAACTTTCAAAACATGCCAATCTACCACCTGTCATTAATTAACCGTTAAAGTGGCATTTAAAATGGCACAAATGCCCTTCGAGTGTCATCTAATTTTCTTTATTAACTATCAAACCGTTGACAAATAATGAACAGTCCCAAATCTTTTTCTCTTCTATTTAAGAAAGTTGGGGTTGAGCATTCTGATGACCCCAACTTTCTTGAATAGAAGAGGCAAGGATTTGTGACTATTCATTTTTTGTTGACATTTGGACGGTTGATAAAGAAAATTAGATGACACTTGAAGGGGCATTTATGTCTTTTCAAGTGCCACTTAATGACTGGTTAATGGTAGATACTAAATTGGTCCATTTTGAAAGTTTGGATACTGAATTGTCGCATTTTAAAGGTCGGGGACCAAAGTACCACTAGGCCCAAAGTACTAATCGGAAAATTTCCTTTAAAAGTTAAAATAAAAATATAAATTAAACATAAAATAATACTTATATACACACTATGTATAGAATATAATTATATATTATTTTATTAATATAATACATATTTATATATAGACATATTATGGTCTGACCTGTGAATCCATACAGTCGAACCGATGATGCATGATCCAGAGGCAAGAATGATTCGGCTTGTGAGTCGGTTTTAAAACATTGCGCTGGAGGAGGGTCTGGTCCGGATCGGTTTCAAATCTAATGTAAAGCTGAACCGGCCGGATCGATCTAATCTGGCCTGCATCTGATCCGCTGGCAACTCAAAATCGGATGAAGAGAGCAAGAGAGGTTCCTTTGTTACTGGCCCCCACTTCCACCTATGCCACATCGTCGGAGAGAGAGAGAGAGAGGATTCCGGTTAACGTCAACCCGAAACCGGCCTACATCCACCACAAGATGCGAACCTACAAATATGTAGGATGGCCAGGATAAGCTGGTGTTTCAATGTTTTGGATCACACGTTTAAAATCAACCAATGAAACAACTCAGAAGGCGAAGGACAGGCTAGAAATTAGAGGTGAAAATTTCACACTCTCCCCCTCCACAGACCGAACATCTCTCCTCCCGTTCGCCTTTTCTCCTTCCCTCCAAAACCTCGACGAGCTCGAGCTGAGAAGCGATGTTAATAAACGTCTCAACCTCTCCTCCAACTCCATCGCTCTCATTTCTCATCAGATTAAGCAATCCAAAGTTAAATGGCTCTGATTTCCCTCTGAAATCCAGAACCCACTTGTCAAAATCTTTCTATTCTTCTTCTTCTTCTTCTTCTTGTCATTCTCTGTGTTATCATTCTTCTTCCTCATATTTCAGAACCCATGACGCAAACCATTTGTTTTATCTTAAGAGAAGATACCAACATGGAAAAAGAGATTCTTTTCGGTCCTTGGCGATCCCTGGATTTGAATTGGGAAGTTTGGAGGGCCCCCAATCTGTGCTGGAGGCAGCTGCAGTGTTAACGGCCATCATTCTCGTGCATGAGAGTGGTCATTTCCTCGCCGCCTATCTACAAGGAATACATGTAAGTAAATTCGCAGTCGGATTTGGTCCAATCTTAGCCAAATTCAACTCAAATAATGTAGAGTACTCCATAAGAGCATTTCCGCTTGGTGGGTTTGTGGGGTTTCCGGATAATGATCCCGAGAGTGATATTCCTGTGGATGACGAAAATCTGCTTAAAAACAGACCCATCTTCGATAGGGTCCTTGTTATATCGGCTGGAGTGATTGCCAACATAATCTTTGCCTATGGAATCATCTTTGGTCAAGTGTTGTCGGTTGGGTTGCCCGTTCAAGAGGCCTTCCCTGGGGTGCTTGTACCAGAGGTTCGCGCATATTCGGCTGCTGCCCGAGATGGACTGCTCCCTGGCGATGTGATTCTTGCTGTTAATGGGATCGAATTGCCACGAACAGGGCCTGCTGCGGTGTCCGAGCTTGTTGATATCATTAAGAACAACCCCAAAAAGAATGTGTTTCTCAAGGTTGGGAGAGGAAAGCAGGATTTGGAAATTGGGGTTACCCCTGATGAAAGTTTTGATGGAAGTGGGAGGATTGGAGTTCAGTTATCTCCAAATGTTAAGATTACAAAGATTAGGCCGAAGAATCTGCTGGATGCTATGAACTATGCCGGAAGAGAATTCTGGGGTCTTTCCTTTAATGTTTTGGACAGCTTGAAGCAGACTTTCCTTAACTTCTCGCAGTCGGCCAGTAAGGTTTCCGGTCCTGTTGCTATTATAGCTGTTGGTGCAGAGGTGGCAAGGTCGAATACCGATGGACTTTTTCAGTTTGCGGCTATTCTGAACCTTAACCTTGCTGTGATAAACCTTCTTCCCTTGCCTGCTTTAGATGGGGGTTCTTTGGCTTTACTTCTCGTAGAGGCAGCTAGAGGTGGGAGAAAGCTCCCTCAAGAAGTAGAGCAGCGGATTATGTCATCAGGGATCATGGTTGTTATCCTTCTTGGGTTGTTCCTTATTATTCGAGATACACTTAACCTTGATTTCATAAAGGAATTATTGTGATGAATTGTAAGTTGTTGGAAGTTTAAAGTGGGATCAAAGATTCAAAAGGAACTACTTATGGAACAGGTGATCTTCTCAGATTGATAGTATTGATGTTCTATATACTGGAGGAATTGAATTCAGGTTCCAATACTTCGCTTCATTTATTGCCCTTTAGGTTTGCTTCCTGGCAAGAAGGGTATGGCTTCTCCATGTTGTCAACTCATTTCATGTAATGTACACTTCTCATTCACTTGTAAAGTTGTTGTTTATGGCACTGGGAATGCTAACCTGGGTTATGGACCCTCGCCCCTAGTTTCCACCCTCAGAAATATATGCTCTACATATAAAAATTACAGTGAATTATAACCGTGGGCAATTAATCAGTCTTTGATATTATTAATTGGAACCTGGAAAAATATCTTTCTGCATTATCTTTATGTTGGTTTTCGCAATTTAGAAAACTTGAAGAGGGCAGATATTCTGTCTTGGAATTAAATTGTACAATTGCTTCAATTTCTTTTCCTTTCATGTTATGAAGTATAAATATTCTGCAATTGAATGCCTCATTTAGATTGTTAAGGATTCTTTCTTGAACCAATTGTTTGCTTGAAATACTTGCAGAAGTTTTCCTAGGAAACAATAAAGAATTCTTATCACTTGAGACATCAATGAGAATATTACTTACTGATTCTATTTGATGTATAAAGGATATGCATGCATATGTTGTACTTTATTTCTTTCTCGTTAACTTTGTAAAGATGTACCGGAGGCTAACAACTCTTTCACTTTTGTGAGAATTGAGATATAAAAACAAGACTATAATCACTCATCAGAATTTAAAAAGAAAAAGAAGGATGTGTGTGTGTGTGTGTGTTTTCTAGCATTTACAAGATGATCATTGATGCATCACTGTATAACTCTCAAACCCCAATTGTAATTAGTAAGAATTATGGTAGAGAAAATTTGTTGTGCATCATTATGATGATTCTTTCTTTTTTGTATATATTTTTTTACTTGGTCTTATTTGGTTGAGACAGGACTTTATAGAGTTTAGTTCATGGAATCATGAGATGATGAGAGTGACCATAAAGTCATAAACAACTTATGCTATGAATTTTGTTTTATTGATAACCAGATCACTGTAATGCAGTAATTTAATATGCTTCAAATACAATCATCCAACCATCTAATAAGCGAGAAAGCAAATATGAGCATGGATGTTATGGGAGAAAATCAGAACTGAATGCACATTGCCTGTAAACAAGGTAATA